TTTTTGTATCCTGAGCACACGCCTCCGACCATCGCCCGTTCGGTAACGTCGACTTCAGTCAACTTTGGCAAAAGCTGGTTTGGTCACCCACGCTCTAGTCAACGCACTCAGTCGATTATCTGGTCTCGAATTCGCCTGGCATATGCTTGGTAGTTATGGTCGCGTCCGGTTTTTTGGCTCAACGTGGTTTCGTCCTACGTCTGCAGCGTTTTCTGGTTCGCATCCCTACGAACGCAATCATCAGATCCTGGATACAAACCACTCTGGTGTGGTATGCTAATTCGACCAACAAATACAGCACACTTCTCCTGGTACCGTTCTGCGCAAAAGACTTTCGTTGGCAACTCAAGGATCAACGATCACTTCCTGTTCCGCCAATTTCCTCCGTCCTACAACCGCACTTCTGTCGATCAGTCCCACGAATCAAACCGCTAACTATCGAAAGTGTAAACTCTTTCTAGTGAGGGGCTCCTGTAGTGACCTACTTTTGTCTACAGAACGCGATTGGTTCAATGAAAACAATTATTATTATAACCAATTGTACCAGTGACTGTTTTACTGTGCTCGTTTGTTTAACTGTGCTAATGACAGCCATTATACTCACTTACACTCCCGTCGACTTTGAACTTGAACGAATTCGGTTACGCTCAGTAACTACGCTTGTACTCCTTTGGCACGATCTCGGTATTCTTTCGATACCACGAGATCGCCAACAAATACATCTCGACTACAGCCATCATCTGTCTTCTGATTTTTGGCCTACGGTGATCGTATTGGTCTATTGGCACGTAGTCTGGTAGCGGTGTTCATATTAAATCGCAACTCGACACCACGCTACAGGTTCTTCAAAACCCGAGAAGGATTGACTGGCGAGGAGCAGGCTGGGTTTCGTTCCGGTCGACAATGTATTGATCATATCTTCACCCTCCGCCAAGTGTTAGAACACCGTCATACTTATCAAAGGCCAACAATCGTAGTGTTTCTTGATATCAGGGCTGCCTTCGATTCGTTGGACAGAACTGTTCTCTGGGATTGTCTATTGAAGAAGGGTGTGCCTGAGAAGTTTGTTAACATCCTAAAAGCCCTATACACAAACACCTCAGGCAGAGTGAGGGCATACAACCACCTTTCTCCATTATTCCATTCGAGCAGTGGGGTTAGGCAGGGTTGCCCAATCTCACCATTCCTCTTCAACTTTGCCATCGATGACATTCTGGAAACAGCCCTGATCGATGTAAGTAGTGGCGGTGTGGATCTGTTGCCTGGAGAAAGACTTCTCGACCTTGAGTATGCGGATGATATTGTCTTACTGTGCGAGAGTGCCCAAGCCATGCAATCCGCAGTTAATCAGTTGGCAATCAGTGTCCGTAGGTATGGTATGTGCTTTGCACCTTCGAAGTGCAAAGTACTTCTACAAGACTGGCAGGATTCTAATCCTGTACTCACTCTGGATGGTGAGCAGATTGAAGTGGTCGAGAAGTTCGTGTATCTAGGTAGCTGCATAAGTGCTGGTGGTGGTGTGAGTGATGAGATCAATGCACGTATAGTGAAAGCCAGAGAGGCTTATGCCAATCTGGGCCATCTTTGGCGCCTTCGTGATGTTTGTCTGGCTGTAAAAGGTCGGATCTACAACGTGTCGGTGAGAGCAGTTTTGCTCTATGCTTGTGAAACCTGGCCTCTCCGAGTTGAGGATGTTAGACGACTCTCTGTGCTCGATCATCGTTGTCTCTGAAGGATTGCTGACATCCAGTGGCAACACCATGTTAGTAATGCAGAGGTTCGGCATAGAGTGTTCGGTCACAGAGACGATAATGCAGTTGGTGTCACCATCTTGAAACACCGACTTCGGTGACTTGGACATGTTCTACGAATGTCGTCCCAGAGAATTCCTCGTCGTGCATTATTTACCGACTCTGGGACTGGTTGGAAAATGCGGGGCGGTGGTTAGTATATGACATGGTGTCGTGGTATGAAGGAAAGCTGCAAAGGGCTAGCTTCTGTTGGTCCTTCACGACTCCCTGGTTGGGGTCCGAGAGACGGTGTAACACAGTGTTAGAGACGTTATCAGATATGGCTCAGAATAGAAGTCAGTGGTGATCCTGCTGTAACCTTCTTTTACTTTCTTCGTAAAGAGTGGTGGCTTCTTCCTTAACTAAAAGATTTCTCCTGGTTGTACCTTTTCATTTCTCCCATAATTACTACCATTACACTACCTTACAGTAATCTTGTCGTTATTGTTTTTTTCCCTTCTCTTTAAATTCCTCATTTCTTTTGTGTGGCTCATATGTATCTGGTGCCCCCTTGGATCAATATTTATGTGTTCAAATAAACAAATATTAAATTTTTACAAAGGTCAGTCAGTCAGCTATAACGTAGGACCAGGTACATATATTCATCGGTTCATGTTGCCACGCCTCATTAGCACAAGATGAACACCAAATTTATAGTAGTTACTTCAATGGTAGTAATATATAAAACATTGTGTATAGCGAGAAAATATAGGATGAAAGAATTAGTTCGCAGAAAGAACGGCATAAAGTTGGTGTGTGAGGACGATTACATATTTGCTTAGTCAGACTTGTAGATAGTCTGAAATGTATTTGATGAGTTATATATTCTCTTACCCTTATTATTATTGTCAACTTTTGGTGTGGAAATATATTGACGTTCTAATCAGGTTAATCACATGTTCTTGGTCTGAGTTTCGTTGAAGTCCTGTAAAATGTACACTGGGAGGGAATCTAGTGTAGATATTCGTCTAAGGCAAATTAGCATCCATTTGTGTAGACGAAGAAAACTGAAAGTTATAACAAAAGTAATTTCAATCTCACGGAATACACTCGCGCCACAGTGATCGATTCTCAGTCATGTCACCAAGAGTCTCCAACCATTGGATACGATAGTCGCGCGGACCACAAACAAGTAGTCTGCATCTTCCGACATGGCTCAGACCAGAAGTTAGTGACTTCAAGGACTGATGCCATGTTTTGGTTTGGCTGCCCCTAACTTATTTCCAACCATCCCCAACACTAGTCAGTATTCAGACATACGTAACATGTGGCCCAACCATCTCAGTCGATGAAGATTTACAACCTCATCAATTGATTTACCATCGTTCCCTAATATTATGCGTCTAATCTCACTATTAATTACCTGGTGATCCCAGCAGATGCGAGCAATATTTTTGAAACATCTATGATCAAATACTAGTAACTCACGAGTATCTCCTACTCTTAATGGCCACGTTTCGCATCCGTAAGCGTAGTACAGAATGTTTCGAAAAGGTAGGAGTGACAAGTGTTTAAGTACGCAGATGTCTACGGTAAACTGATATATGCATGAACCAGCTTTCGGCACCTAAGCGTTTTACTTCACGAGAAATAGATCAATGATAGCTGCATTAGACGAATGAAAATTACAAACCCGTCAATATCTCCGTATAAAAGAACAATGTGTGATATAAATAAGCAGAATGGGTTTGTTCAACATTACAAGTTTTAGAACATTTATTGACTTAAACTCAAATGTTAACACAACTGTAATTCTTAATTTCTAAAATCGTACTGACGACAAGTCGGAAACATGCAGTGATAGAGAGTTTATAGTTTCAGCCACCTTTGCAAGCAATGCTGGTATAAATGTTTAGTTTCGTGGGTTCCCTTGTTCGCTCCTCAGTGTCACTTCGATATTTTGTTTCATCATTAAATGTTTATCGTCACATTTTGCCACCGTTCTAATGTTAGTGTACTTTCTAGCTTGTTAACATTTTCTCTATTATAAAACACCAATCTACTTTATTTGAAGTCTTTTGTATATATTAAGAATCAGTAAAAATTTGTATTTAAGATCAATTTTGCTGTTGGCTGGAATTTTTAGCTTTTCGTAATTAATCATAGTTACAGCCATGTCAAGATATTAATAATCTGTTAGAGATCACTGAGGATGGTGATCGTTGGTACTACGACACATCGCTGATTATCATTCAACCTTCTGTAACAGAAATCATATGCATGGTTGTACACTATCTTGGGTAAGGTATTAGTATAATTTTTGAGATCGTAACCCATTAAAACCTTGTTTATGGCCAGTAAACGTTGGCCTACGAGGATCTCAACATAACACCTGATTGACTTTTTACTATCTAACCACGGCCCTCCGACTTTTTCTTGTAAATAAATAACACGTACACCACAAACTGATAATGGGTTTTTCTTATCCAATTTACTTTATCACACCATATAACGCTACCAAGTGATCTAGGTATAAGTATTTTAATGACAAACTTCAGAAAAATATCTAAGATTTCTCACACTTGATCCCAGGCTGTTAGATGCCTGGATCTCAGGATTCCTTCGAATATATCCCTAAAGTGGACAATCGGTCATTTGAAATCAGTTTCGCTTGTTGATGGTGACGGGTTATCTGTGATAATATGGAATACATCATACCAGAAAATTTCTCGTTTTTTAAACTATCAAACAACACGCTCCAGAAGGACACTTAGGAGTGAATATGTGGACAGTTAAGAAATTTCAGCGAACAGCGAAATTGGTCATAAATACAAAGTTGCACTGATTTTTAATATGAAAAAACTACTTCAAATCAAATGGATTGGTGTTTTATAATAGAGAAAACGTTAACAAGCTAGAAAGTACACACTAACATAAGAACGGTGAGAAACACTTAACGCGTCACATAAAATAACAAAATTTCGTTGTGATGAAAAAACGATTGCCGCAACGACGCTAAAAGGCAGACAAAACTAAACACGCTCTTCAGCATGGCTTTAATTCTTTGAGCCACTAGTGTCAACTGGTATGTCACTTTAAATCATTGTTTGTTGGTTTAAAGATGTAAACTTTGCTTATGGTACCGATCAACAATGAACGATTAGATTTTTTAGTTCATAATGTAGAAAAAAATGGCTGGTGAAAGTCCTTTGGTTTTCATAAAATAAATAAACAGGGAATAAAAGCAGTATAACATCATGAAGTATGCACTTATGATGAAATTATTGAGCCCATTAAGCTAGGAAACCAAAATACTCTTTCACCACAAGGATCTAAATCATCAACCCATGCAATACCTTCTTGCATTAAATGCCGAAAGGCAGCGTCTGTACGATCTTTAGTCCAATCAAATCTGGATGAGGATAAAAAAATTAGAGAGAAGTAACATTACAAATGTATCAAAACGGTTATTTACTCAACGTTGTGCACTTAGAAAAACTAAACAATAATTAACGGTTTCGTCAAAATGTATGGTACTTCGCAGTATTCGCATCATACTAATTAAATTCTGGTACACAAAAAAATGATTTAATGCCGAAAATGGTAACAAATCACTTAAAATCTCAAGTTATCTTAGTCGAATGCATATTAGGTTGACTTCTTTTTCAAAAAGGAAACTGGCAAAAACAAAAAATAAAAATCTTCCTCCGACAACTGAATAATAACAATAAGATTATTGATCGGAGTAAAAAACTAATTGAAGATTAAATTCTACTACTGGGCGCCAACCCGGTGTTTCCAATAATTAAGGGTTCTTTATGGGACCTGGGGTGTGAATACTTCCTGTTGAGGAGTCCCATTACAGGATGAAACAGCTGTCTAGTCCTCCTTGAGATTAAACTGTAACGAACATAACCTATAAATTAAAGCAATCCCCGCAAAATCCCTATCATCAAATTGATAATTCACTGTTACTTATAGTTGTGAAAGCATAGCATTTCAAGCTAAACACTGATCATAACTAGCTTAAAGCAGTAAGTTGGTTGATTTACTTATCTTAACGTTTTACAATCGCCTACGATCATTAAAATAGATGGTAATAACATCATGCAGAAGAAAACAAACAAATGTTACTTAATACAACAATAAAAAATATGCTATAAAATAAGAAGGATAAATCTAATTATTTACACAGATGGACTGTATTTTAAAGAGGATAACAGGATAGGCGATATTTTACTTGCTGAGAAACAGATTGATCATCAATTTTATTTAGACATGAATTTAAGAGAAAAAGTTTTCGAAACAATATAAATTACATTCACTTGGTGTTGTTTGCTTCTAACTTCCCATTGTTGTTTAGGACTGCAATTGATCAGTCTCTTGTTGGCATATGTGCATCCTGTGCGGATTGCCTCGATGTTGCCTTAAGTCACAAGCTTTATAAACAAAGACGGGTAGTAGCTAGCAGTGGAATCCACGACGCGCGTTTCGTTCTATTTGAGATTCGTCAACTGGAAGTACCTGCATCTCAGAGTTGATGTTCACTCCAGGACTCGAACATCAACTCTAAGATATAGGCACATCCAGCTGACGAGCCCCAAATAGGATGAAACGCATGCCTTGGATCCCACTGCTAGCCACTATCCATCTTTGAACATAAATTACAGTTGTAATTTATTGAAAATTCATTTCAAATGCATTTTAGTAAAACAATATTGATTGCTTTGTAACCATATATACAATGTTTTTATATCATTTAATTAACGACACTTATTAGGTTTACGAAGTGATCACATAACTGATTTACCGGGAGAAATGTGAACATGAAGCATTATCATTCCAAAAGCTTTACTCCTATTCAAAGTAAGCTAATTGTTTACGTTACATGCTAATGTTTAACTTCATAAATATTTCTTTTGAAGAAACTACGAAATTTTCCCGTGATATTATATAAATATAATGTAACGAGAGGAACAAGTGGTATCAAATGAATAAAACACATCAAAATGGACGTGATAAACCATTAATAGAAATTACCGGAACGAAAAATTGGTAACTAGATACGCTGAAACAACGAAACAAGTTTAAAAAGGTAGATAGAAATAAAAAGTGGATAAATCTTCCAAAATTTGCAGAAATGTGAGTACCCTGTAATTCGACGCATAACATATCATGGTTGTAAAAAGGTGACACTTATCTTTTGTCAGAGATTTGTCGGGTTGGATCGTAATGTTTTAAGTCTGCAGTTAGTTGACTATTTTGATGATTTTCTGTACGTCCGTTTGCTGACTTATATAACTTGCTAATTATTATGTGGAGGTTTCGTATAACTAATTTGAAACTAGTGACGTAAAAACTGACTTATCTTAATCTTGAAAATAATTTCCTAGTCTCAGTGGGAATTCATCTCGCGTGTTCAGTCAGAAATAATTTCCTGAGAAATCTTTACCTACTGCACAATGATTTCGTTATATCCTAGATAAACTCAAGTTAAAAATATGTACTAGTGAATGCATATTTAATTTAAAACAGTTAGTCCCTCTGATAAACTTCGTCTTCTCATTGCATTATCAAAAAGCATATTTAATTGTTTAAAGGTATGTTGTGCCCGTCCTGAGACCTGAAATTGATGGAGTTTGATATCGCACTTAGTATTTCCGGATTTCAATGGTTTTCTAGTTGATATCAGTTCCTGATTAAAGTGACTGAAGGACAATTGGACAAATTCCTGCAAACTACTGGAATAAAGTACAACTTATGACTAAAAATAAACAGAATCCTCAGTGGACAATGGAGCCCAAAGTAGAGTCAGGAATATGATCAACTATATAAACTTATGCATCAATCATTAGATCTGTCACTAGAAATATTTCCAAATTTATTATTTAGTTGAACCTAACTGAACAAGTTTCCCGGATTGATTAGGTCATTTGTATCCAAATAAAAAGTACAGACATAAATTACTGAAACTGGAAGCTGGAATAAAATGTTTCTATTCACAAATCACACACTAACTTGTCTATTACAGCTGATGCTGTTACATGACTATCAGAGCTTTCTGCGAGTCCCAACACCATGGTTTGATCCATATTCATTTCACCTGGGACCGACTGGACCAATAACCGACCACCAGATAGACTAATAAGACTGAACCCCGTTCCTAGACAACGCAGTTTTCTGATAGACCTTTTTACGTCATCAGCACTAACTTCCGACTCGTATCGTGTTCTGATTTTGTTTAATAGAGATACCAATTCATGCAGAGGTATAATGCCTCCAGTGTGTTTTTGGTTAGCCATGCATATCTGTGAGTAAATTTGTGAAGGAAATCGAGCTTAAGAACAATATAAACATAAAACAAAATGTAAGATTTCGTACAAAGTAAAATAGAGTGAAGACTACATGATAGTCTGTACCGTGATGAATTACTACAGATATTGACGAAAAAATATTAACATTATACAACCGAATTATTTATTTATTTGATCACGTACACATTGGTACAAGGAGGCACCAAATACATACGCGCCACACTAATCACTTGATTTGCGTGGGGGCTGAAATGCTGCCCGAGTGCCCAACCGAGTCGTAAATTAATAAATATTTTTCGAAGAATTCCCTGCGCGGACAGTATAATACAGGACAGCACAGCACAGCCTACAACATATAAATTGCAAAACCCTGATTCCAAACCAACGATGCACACGGGCTCCATGATCCTGAGGGAGCACATCGCATATGAATCTAGTGTATTACCTAACGTTGCTCCAGTGCTTTGTGGATTGGACCTCTAGGTAAAATGGTTGGAGAGTGGCTCCCTAAGAAATCCACCTGCTTCAATTTAGGCACCCAGACCATATCACAGCCCGCAAACAAACTAAATGATAACTACAGGTAGAAAAACTATTCACACTAGCAAATCACACTCAAAATTATTACCACTCATTTTTATTTCGCATTACATCACTTGCCCATATCCTTTATTCCAATTTTGTGTATCTCTTTATTCTTCAACTCATACAGCAAATGGCATATGGTGGCGATCATATCCTATCTAAACGATCTTAAGTCACTGATTGGTCGAAAGTTGGATGATACCACTAAATACAAATTCTAAACCAGTCTTTCTGAAACCAAGTATGTCCTTCAAACTAGCCTCATTCACCTTTCGCACACTAAAGCAGATTGGACAACAAATTCAGTTGGCTGTCTTTAGAAATCGATGTCTGCTGTCTATCCGAGACCCATACTAAGGACCCTAGAAAAGTACCACAAATTTGCTCTCTATCTGTCGCCTCAAAAAGCTTGTTTCACGCGCGTTTATCCGGAGAAGCTGTGGCATCTTCGCCTGGTTTCGCTGGCGCTGGTGTCGCACTAAACACTAGAGAAAGGGTAACGCTAATCGATTGGATCCCCATGACCAGTTAATTATGTGCAGTCAGAATGGAAAGTCCCATCAAAGTGAGAAATCGGTGTGCGGAACGATGTTTTTCGTCATCGCTGTATCTCAGCCCACGCACTAAAATCATGATGAACTATTTGCTTATGGAAAATATTCCCTTCTCTCTGATTAACATTGAAATGACGCGTACTATTATTATTATTATTATAAATATTATTATTATTATTTTACCACATCATTTATTCACCCTCTCTTATACCTACTTTATGTATCCGTTTCGACCTAGACAGCAGCTTGCCTATGGTGAAAATTCAGCTTTATCTAAACGTTCTCGAGTCACTGCCTGGTTGAAAATTGTATGTTACCACCGAATACGAGTACTGAAGCAGTTTTTCTGAAACCACGTGCACCATTCAAACTGGCTGCCTTCAACGTTCGCACACTTATGCAGGTCGGACAACAGATAGGGCTGGCTATGTCTTTGGAAAGTCTTAATATTGATGTGTGTTGTCTATCCGAGACCCGTATTCAAGACTCTGGTGACGTACTAATAGTTCGCTCTCCATCTGTCACTTCAAAAAGCTTGTTTTAAGTGCGTTTATCCGGGGACCCTGTGGCATCTTCGTCTGGTCCTGCTGGCGTCGGTGTCGCACTAAGCGCTAGAGCTGAGGCAGCACTAGTCGACTGGATCCCCATTAACAGTCGGTTATGTGCTGTTAGACTAGAAAGTACCATCAAAGTGAGAAGAAATCGACGTGAGAAACGATGTCTTTTCGTCATCTCCGCCTATGCCCCGACAGATTGCAGCCCGGATGCAATCAAGGATGAGTTCTACCACCAGTTAACTGTTCTTCTCCAGAAAGTGCGCTCGACAGATATTGTAGTACTAGCCAGAGACTTGAATGCTCAGGTCGGGCGTCTAGGCACAGAAGAGAGTCGTTTAGGTGGCCGATGGGGACTTGTTGGTCGCAGGACAGATAACGGGGAACGTCTACTGCAACTATGCACAGACCACAACCTGTTTCTGGCTAGCACTAACTTTCGGCACAGTTATCGCCGATGTGCCACCTGGCGTCCTCCTTCTGCATCTCAAGCCTGGACTCAGATTGATCACATCGCGATCAGCTACCGCTGGCGTGGTTGTGTACAAGACTGCCGCTCCTTTTGGAGTACCTATCTGGAATCTGATCATGCTCTGGTCTGCGCCAATCTTACCTTGCTTTTCAGTGGACAACGAAGTGACCGCCACCACAGGATTGATGTTAGCAAGCTGGCTGCAACTTCTGTTGCTAGTAAGTACCGAACCGAGCTAGCTTCTAGGCTAGCTACCATTCCACCGAAAAGTATAGATGAGCATTGGTTGCAATTGCATGGCGCCATGAAAATGGCGGGTCAAGTCTGTTGTGGGTTCGCGAAACGTCCCGCTTACAAGCACTGGGTTTCTTCTGGTTCCTTACAACTGATTGAAGCCCGTCGGTCTACTCCGGGTGACCGTGAGTTTGACCACAGACGAAGGATGTTACGTAATGAAATCGAGCAAAGCTTGCGTAAGGACCGAGAAGCCTGGTGGTCGGAGCGTGCTAACGAGCTGGAAGCAGCAGCTGCATCTGGTAATTACCGGAAGCTCTTCCAACTCATCCGAGCCACTGGCAGCAAGAAGTTTGGTGTGAGCGAAACAATCTGCGAGGACGACGGAACGCCAATCACTAACATCCATCGACGTCTTGAACGATGGGCGAAATTCTTCGAAGGGCAGTTCAACTGGCCTGCTGCTCCGGCAACATCGGTCAGACTGTCCTGCCCTCCATGACCGGTGACGACTGATCCACCAAATGAGGCGGAAGTCCGCAAGGAACTCCAACTCTTGAAACGTTACAAATCACCGGGCTCAGACGACTTACCTCCGACTCTTTTTAAAGATGGTGGTGACTTTCTGACTAAGGGACTGACGACGTTGTTTACAAAGGTCTGGGAACTAGAGTGTGTACCAACGTCATGGAATGAGTCGATAGTTGTCCCTATCTTTAAGAAGGGTTCACGTTGTTCCTGTAACAACTATCGGGGTATAAGTCTACTTCCGATTTCATCCAAGCTATTGGCTTCCGTCACACTTCGTAGGTTCTTCAAGCCCCCAAATGCCCTGGTACGGTCGAGAGTGGGGCGAGTCCTCTCTCCCTCTCGAAATGCTCTCACATGGCCACGCCTATATAGCCTCTGCCAGGGAAGTCCTACTCACTGCCTTCTCGTGGCGGGGATGTTGTTTACGAAAATGAGAGGACGAAAAGCGAATGTCCTATACTTTAACCGGATCTCAAACCAATGGTGCACATAGGCTCCAGTATCCTGAAGGAACAAATGGCGTATGAACCAATCGTTGGTCACCGGCTACCATGGGACTGCATCTCATCACGATGCTCCACTGCCTTGTGGACTAGATTTTTAGGTCAAAGGCTCGGGGTGTGGCCCCCTAAGAAAACCACCTGCTTCGGTTTGGGCACCCGAGCAGTATCACAGCCCTCACACAAATCAATTGAGATTTGTGTGGCGCATATATATTTGTTACCTGTGGTACAAATGCCTATGTGTTAAAAATAAATAAATAAGGTTCTTCGAAACCCGAGAAGGATTGACTCGCGAGGAGCAGGCTGGGTTTCGTTCCGGTCGACAATGTATTGATCATATCTTCACCCTCCGCCAAGTGTTAGAACACCGTCATACTTATCAAAGGCCAACAATCGTAGTGTTTCTTGATATCAGGGCTGCCTTCGATTCGTTGGACAGAACTGTTCTCTGGGATTGTCTATTGAAGAAGGGTGTGCCTGAGAAGTTTGTTAACATCCTAAAAGCCCTATACACAAACACCTCAGGCAGAGTGAGGGCATACAACCACCTTTCTCCATTATTCCATTCGAGCAGTGGGGTTAGGCAGGGTTGCCCAATCTCACCATTCCTCTTCAACTTTGCCATCGATGACATTCTGGAAACAGCCCTGATCGATGTAAGTAGTGGCGGTGTGGATCTGTTGCCTGGAGAAAGACTTCTCGACCTTGAGTATGCGGATGATATTGTCTTACTGTGCGAGAGTGCCCAAGCCATGCAATCCGCAGTTAATCAGTTGGCAATCAGTGTCCGTAGGTATGGTATGTGCTTTGCACCTTCGAAGTGCAAAGTACTTCTACAAGACTGGCAGGATTCTAATCCTGTACTCACTCTGGATGGTGAGCAGATTGAAGTGGTCGAGAAGTTCGTGTATCTAGGTAGCTGCATAAGTGCTGGTGGTGGTGTGAGTGATGAGATCAATGCACGTATAGTGAAAGCCAGAGAGGCTTATGCCAATCTGGGCCATCTTTGGCGCCTTCGTGATGTTTGTCTGGCTGTAAAAGGTCGGATCTACAACGTGTCGGTGAGAGCAGTTTTGCTCTATGCTTGTGAAACCTGGCCTCTCCGAGTTGAGGATGTTAGACGACTCTCTGTGCTCGATCATCGTTGTCTCTGAAGGATTGCTGACATCCAGTGGCAACACCATGTCAGTAATGCAGAGGTTCGGCATAGAGTGTTCGGTCACAGAGACGATAATGCAATTGGTGTCACCATCTTGAAACACCGACTTCGGTGACTTGGACATGTTCTACGAATGTCGTCCCAGAGAATTCCACGTCGTGCATTATTTGCCGACTCTGGGACTGGTTGGAAAAAGCGGAGCGGTGGTTAGTATATGACATGGTGTCGTGGTATGAAGGAAAGCTGCAAAGGGCTAGCTTCTGTTGGTCCTTCACGACTCCCTGGTTGGGGTCCGAGAGACGGTGTAACACAGTGTTAGAGACGTTATCAGATATGGCTCAGAATAGAAGTCAGTGGTGATCCTGCTGTAACCTCCTTTTACTTTCTTCGTAAAGAGTGGTGGCTTCTTCCTTAACTAAAAGATTTCTTCTGATTGTACCTTTCCGTTTTCCCCATCATTGTTCTCTCCCTCCTTTTTTCTATAATTCCTCACTTTCATTACTTTTTTTTAATATATATATATATATATATATATATATATATATCCTTCTCTTTAAATTATCATTGTTTTGTGTGGCGCATATATATTTGGTGACCTTTTGTACCAATATTTATGTGTTCAAATAAATAAAATAAATAAAGTAACTGTAAGGTCGGTAATCAGGTGAAAACTTTATTGATTTATTAACTCACCTCAATAATTTTCACACCTAAATGGTAGTAAAATTCTCCCAAACCTAATGCTTCTGACCAACACCCACGACTGTAGGCTATGGGGTCAACACCAATACTACTACACATTGCTTGAAATTGTGAACGTAAATGTGGATCCTCTTTAATCTTGTTCCCGTGTTTGCTCGCAAATAATTCAAGCGACTGACGAACTTGTTCAAACTGTCGTGATAGTGTTGTTATCTGATTTTCTGCTAACTCATCGCTTTTTTCTTTGTACTTCGACTGAGCAAGCGATTTGCTTTTAATCGATGCAATCCCGGCCTTTCTATACATTGTAGAGTCCGTCCACAGTGATAATAACACGTATTTTGACGGAACAGATGAGCAGAATAACTGAACTAACAAGATGTCATTGTTACCAATATAAATCGTGAAAGACCCTGAAAACATGTGGGAAGAAAATGTAATAAAGAATTAAAACACAGTAATTGCGTAGTATGGCGATTTCTAACAAATAATGCATAAACCAGTTTTAAAAAACGCCACCAACAATAATAGAAAAATATGTGATTAGCAGGGAGAGCTATTTTTGTTAACGGTTAGTTGAGGTGACGTTTATTACTGTAATAACCTTTATTTCTCATTTTACTTTGAATTAAATATTTGGACCCAAATTTATTTGTTTCATAAACTTAATAGATCACTACTCCATTATAAACTAAGTAACCGACGGTATCTTTCGTTATCAAAACATTAAATAAGGTCAAGTTACTATTTGATTTATTTTCTGATTTCTCTACTCAAGGTAGTAAGAATTCACGGTAAATTTTACTTGATTTTACATTTCGAACGATAACATACTACATTAGGAAGTATGCGTATATATTACACACTAACAACACTGAAACGGAAATTCGAATTGCCTTATTCTTTGATGAAATGTGCATCTTATCAAACTAATTGTCCATATATTCAGTATCCTGAGATTTAAGGAACAAAACATAGAGCGCAATAGCACATTTATATCATACTCAGCACCCTCTAAAACTTCAAAAAAAAGAACACATTTTGCTATGTCCGTTTCATCTCCACACTGTTGACATGATTATCACCTAAATGCATCAAATGCACAAGTAACATGAGGAAGTGTGTAGTCATGTTAACTAGTCGACTTTTAAAAAGACTCCCACTGAAATTCTGGTTAATCCGGCTACGATTATGAAGAGTATCAGTCGATTCCCATATCTACAAGAAGTTATCATTATCAGTATGAGGTTCACTTCGACAGTCTATCTATGGAAATAAGTGCATGCTTTTTAAGGTAAACTAGGGAACATAGATTTAGTACCATAAATTCAAATCGAGATAATCTAGCTTGAAAAGTAGCTTATTATATAAATTAACAATCAGGTGCAAAAGGAACAAGTTTATCCAAATAACGAAATATTTGTGTGAACATCCCGTCTTGTTGTACACGTCAAGTAACTTTTTATAACTAAGTTCAAATGTAAAGGTGGGTGAAAATGAAACAAACCATTTCAATTAATACATAATGTAGGCAAACTTTCACATAGCTATTCATATCCAGTAGCATCGGATATTCTAGTGTTGCTAAGTAGATGAAGATATCTAGCAAATTTATCGAACTGATATTATTATTATTATTATTATTATTATTATTATTATTATTATTATTTTAACACATAGATATCGGTACAAGAAGGCACCAAATACATATGCGCCACACAGATCTCATTTGATATGTGTGAGGGCTGTGATACTGCCCGGGTGCCCAAACCGAAGCAGGTGGTTTTCTTACGGGGCCACACCCCGAGCCTTTGACCTGAAGATCTGATCCACAAGGCAGTGGAGCATCGTGATGAGATGCAGTCCCATGGTAGCCGGTGACCAACGATTGGTTCATACGCCATTTGTTCCTTCAGGATACTGGAGCCTATGTGCACCATTGATTTGGGGTCCGGTTATAGCGCCGGATATCCGCTTTTCGTCCTCTCATTTTCGTAAACAACCCCCCCCCGCCACGAGAAGGCAGTGAGTAGGACTTCCCTGGCAGGGGCTGTATACGCGTGGCCATGTGAGAGCATTTCGAGAGGAGGAGCGGACTCCCCCCACTCTCGGCCATACCAGGGCATTTGGGGGCACTGATATTCTTAGTAAATGTATTGTATTATAATGTTGTGATACCTCTTCCGCACTCAAACACTTTAAGAATCGTAATACTATAGCGAGAAAAACGTCAACTATGATTGTCAGTTACAGTCAATATGCTAACTTTCAAAACGCGTAAGCCCTAATATATTTTACTGCAGTACAACTTTATGACTTCCTTTAACCAGAATCCACTGGTTGTGAGCGGTACTGTACAAAAAAGTGCTTCGAGACAAATGTAACTCGCTTACCAGGTGCATGTTCACGTGATGGGTTTTGGTCCACCCACTTTCATTCAGTCAGCTACAACGTAGGACCAGTGATATATATCGGGGCGAAAAGAATATATTCCATTAGTAGACTGTTCAGGCAGTTCAACTGGCCTGCTGCTCCGGCAACATCGGTCAGACTGTCCTGCCCTCCATGACCGGTGACGACTGATCCACCAAATGAGGCGGAAGTCCGCAAGGAACTCCAACTCTTGAAACGTTACAAATCACCGGGCTCAGACGACTTACCTCCGACTCTTTTTAAAGATGGTGGTGACTTTCTGACTAAGGGACTGACGACGTTGTTTACAAAGGTCTGGGAACTAGAGTGTGTACCAACGTCATGGAATGAGTCGATAGTTGTCCCTATCTTTAAGAAGGGTTCACGTTGTTCCTGTAACAACCATCGGGGGATAAGTCTACTTCCGATTTCATCCAAGCTATTGGCTTCCGTCACACTTCGTAGGTTGTTCAGAACCCGAGGATTGACTCGCGAGGAGCAGGCTGGGTTTCGTTCCGGTCGACAATGTATTGATCATATCTTCACCCTCCGCCAAGTGTTAGAACACCGTCATACTTATCAAAGGCCAACAATCGTAGTGTTTCTTGATATCAGGGCTGCCTTCGATTCGTTGGACAGAACTGTTCTCTGGGATTGTCTATTGAAGAAGGGTGTGCCTGAGAAGTTTGTTAACATCCTAAAAGCCCTATACACAAACACCTCAGGCAGAGTGAGGGCATACAACCACCTTTCTCCATTATTCCATTCGAGCAGTGGGGTTAGGCAGGGTTGCCCAATCTCACCATTCCTCTTCAACTTTGCCATCGATGACATTCTGGAAACAGCCCTGATCGATGTAAGTAGTGGCGGTGTGGATCTGTTGCCTGGAGAAAGACTTCTCGACCTTGAGTATGCGGATGATATTGTCTTACTGTGCGAGAGTGCCCAAGCCATGCAATCCGCAGTTAATCAGTTGGCAATCAGTGTCCGTAGGTATGGTATGTGCTTCGCACCTTCGAAGTGCAAAGTACTCCTACAAGACTGGCAGGATTCTAATCCTGTACTCACTCTGGATGGTGAGCAGATAGAACTCGTCAAGAAGTTCGTGTACCTTACACTAATCTGGTCGTTATTGTTTTTTTCCCTTCTCTTTAAATTCCCCATTTTTTGTGTGGCGCATATATATTTGGTGCCCCTTGTACCAATATTTATGTGTTCAAATAAATAAAATAAGTCATATATATGCATCGGTCCAAGTTGCCTTACTGCATTAGCGCAGAGAGATGAACGCCGAATTCATAGTAGTTAAGTCAATAGTGGTTATTTATAAAAGAAAGATTGCATCTAAGAATATGATACAGGAAGAACTGGTTCGTAGAAAAAACAGTATAAAGTAATTTTAAGCTCACAGTTTGAGGGAAGACAAATAATGTATGCAATCATGCCATTATGAATGATTCTCAGCCATGTCACCAAGAGTCTCCAACCATTGGATACGATAGTCGCGCGGACCACAAACAAGTAGTCTGCATCTTCCGACATGGCTCAGACCAGAAGTTAGTGACTTCAAGGACTGATGCCATGTTTTGGTTTGGCTGCCCCTAACTTATTTCCAACCATCCCCAACACTAGTCAGTATTCAGACATACGTAACATGTGGCCCAACCATCTCAGTCGATGAAGATTTACAACCTCATCAATTGATTTACCATCGTTCCCTAATATTATGCGTCTAACTTCACTATTACTTACCCGGTGATCCTAGCAGCTGCGAGCAGTATTTCTAAGACATCTGTGGTCAAATACTAGTAACTCACGAGTATCTTCTACTCTTAATGGCCACGTTTCGCAGACGTAAAGTAGGACAGAACGAAATGCTGAGCTGTATACTCGTACTTCTATGGATAGACGGATATCTTGCTTTCGTCATAAATGACTTAAGTTGGTAAAAGCCAAACGAGCTTTTCGAATCAGACACCGACCCATTATGGCTGATCAGACTTCCGAGATAAGTGAAGTTGTCAACGCGTTCGACTACTTCACTCCCTATTCTTCGTTCAGGTGTTGCCGCAGACTAGTTCTGAAGCAACAACTTGCATTTAGAGAGAGAGAAGCGCATTCCAAACATTCTAGCATGGTTGCTTAGTGCTACCATAAGACTCTGTATTTTATCAGCGTCTTCACCAAACAGGACTATATCATCTGTGTATTCTAAGTCGAATACATGTACTTGTATGTACACTCCAGTGCGACCTTAACGTCATGCTGGGCTGGTCTAAGTTATGGTTAATGACTATCAGTGGGGATAACTGTTATCACGAACATTGGGCATACATGTAGAGCTAACCAACATGTTGGAGAAGTGCCCCTACTTATATTTGTACCTTAAAATGATCTATGAGACCATGATCTGAAGATCAGAGCTTACTGTTATTCAGCTGTAATTGAAGGATTTAGAGCTGTTTGACTTAAGACAGACCTGCGCCAAGTTAGGTGAAAATATACTGACCAAGGTGTGCACAACTTTGGTGAAGTAGAAATATGTACAGGCTACAAGTCTTTGTTAAAGGTCACTCATCTCGTGGAAAGGGTACACTATTCAAGCAATTCGGGGCGTTTAGATTTCTTTGCGACGACCGTCATGAAATGTTCGACTTTTTAATACTAACCTAACGTAGATTGAAAGGAAAACCAATTATGGTGTATGCGATACTGAGAAATAAATTTGAACTCAATTTATCCCCTTTTACCCGATCTAGGTCAAGAAAACCTAAAGAACACGGGAGTGGTATATCGAGAATAAGAAACTCCGTTACGTGCAGGTTATGCCACTGATCAATTAAAGCTGAGAACCAACTGTCAGAAGTGGTATCTGAGTGTTCAATCCACTAATT